ATCTCACAGAACCGTAACCAGGACATGACTGGAAATGCGACAAAGAACTCCGGTCCGGGAGCGGTCGGCAGTTCACGGCCAATCTTCCAGACACGTGCCCACGAGCACCCACGGTTTGGGAAGCACTTTTATGTCTGTCCACTGCACCCTTGTACCTGCACGGCATCGCCTGCGTAACAGGCGATGTTGTTCCCATTGCACAGGTGCCTGACTGAGGCGCGGAGGGGTCAGGAGATGGTTCACGCCCAGCGGATAAAAATTCAGATGTTTTAAGTTCACTCTTTTTGTTGTCATGCATCCAGGCGTTAAAAAAACACGGGACAGCGGTAGAGCGATGAGGCGCCCGGCCAGCCTGAAAGAGCCAGAGAAGCCTTCATCCCCCGCCCCATGTTCGTCCCACCCGGAGGACCTTCCTCGCCGGGCTCCTGGCCTTCCCTCTCTGCGACTGCCGTGTTTGGGGGGTGCAGACGGGCTGCGTCGCGCGCGGAGTCCCACTCGGAGCTGTTTCTGGAAGCGGCAGCCAAGAAGAAGGGCTTCGTCTCACCGGCCCTGGCTCTTGCCTCCCGGCCACGCCGTGCGATGGTTTTCCCGTCTGGGTCTTGGCCCCGATGAACACGCAAGCGGGCAAGCACAGCAACGCGTGGCTGCAGCCAGGGCTGCGGTGTGGAGGGGGTGTGGCCGGCCCCTCGCGCCCCTCGCGCCCGTCCTGGGGCGCAGGGGGTTCCGGGGCGCCTGACGATGGTGGAGCCACAGGCGGAGGACGCCCGGCTGGGGACGCCATGCCGGACCGTCGGACGCGTGAGGTAGGGAGACGCTCCTCGTTTCCTTAGTGTCTTGACTACAGGGGAAATTACGGCCATTAATGTGCGCTGTTAAATTATGTCAAACACGAGACTCGAAATTTCTGCTGAATACAAAATAGGTTTTGGTTAAAAGGAAAATCCGATGTAGATTTAGGGCTGTTTTGGGGATTCCCTCTGTAGCCTGCCCTCAACTCTGTCGCGTCTTGCTCAAGGTGGTATGACACGTGATAAATTTGGAAGGGGATGAGAATAAATAATACAAAATCGAAGGAGATTTGGGCCTGTTGTACCGTGACCTTGGTATTGAGCAGTGTCAGACTGTGGGCTCCAGTCAGGGGTGTGAGAATCAGACCAGCCTGGAAATATGGAGGTGCCCTCCTGCAGTGGGAATACGGGGTGTCCTCCTGCAGTGGAGACATGGGGGTGTCCTCCTGCAGTGGGAACACGGGGTGTCCCCGGCAGCGGAGCCTGCCTGTGGCCGCTCTCTGGCAGCACCCTCGGATCTGACCTTGCTCCGACCTTGCAGCCGCCGCACGCAAGCCCTTGGGAAGCCGAGGCAGTCTCGTGCTCTCGGAAACTCTGATGGGGAGACCTGAGGCGCGTTCCCGTCTCGCACCCCGCATCAGCCGGCTCCAGAGCCCTGCGCCCCGACGCTGTGTCCCCTTCCTCTCCCCGCCGCCCGCCTGCCAGCGCTGAACCTCTCCGGCCCGGCCAGCCCCGTCTCCTCCACCCTCGCTGCCCGCTCTTGTCTTGTGCAGGGTCAGCTCCGTCCTGACCCTCCCGCATCTCTGCAGCCGCCACCGCTCCGCAAAGGGTCCTCAGGGCCCGTCGCCTTCTGGGGAGCCAGTGGGGTGGTGCCACACGGTGGCAGGCGTCCCTTCCTCTCTGCGTGCTGTGCATGACACCGGCGGAGGCACCGGACTCCCGCCATGACGGGCGCGGGTCTTGGCTGTGCGTGCCGTCCCCCTGTGTGTTCAGCGGCCGTTTCTCCCTGTGCCCTTCACGCTCCTCCTCGTCTCTGCTCCCGAAACCCCTCCCGGGGAGACAGGCGTCCGCGCCCTGGGCAGCGAGGACGCAGGGCACATGAGGTGCGGCTTCTGCGAGTCACTCGGGGGTAGAACAGGGTCCACAACCTCTCACCTCCTAAAGGCGAGCGGTTTTGCCTCTGCAACAGAGAGCTCAGCCGCTCAAGAGGGTTCCAGATGACAGCAACGACAGCAGATGTCTCCTCACCAGGCCGAGCCCCCTTCCCTGCTAGAAGCATCTGGAACTCGGCTGGATGAGCAGCAAGAACCAGGGCAGGGCCTGCAACCGGCACCCGGGGCCCCGAGTGAGTCACCACACAGGGCTCGCCCTGCGGATCTCTGACCCAGGGTCTCACATCCAACGAGCCCCATCTCTTGGAAACAACAAACTTTCAGCTCTGAGTCTGAGACTCGGGGCCAGCCCTCCAGAGGCCCAGCCGAGACTCCTGGGCCCACTCACAGTCCGCGGTGCCTCCTCTCCCCGGCAGAGGTGCTGACAGAGCTGGACAGGCCGTCCCCGTGGTGGCTGCACTTTAATCGAGGGTCTCTGGACAGCGCCGGGCTCAGCAGACCAGCTCCTGCTGGGACAAAGACTCAATCAATGTTCCATTATCCTTCCTTCCATCCTCGGCCTCCTGCCCTCCCGCTGAGGAACCTCCTCATCCCAGCTCGGGATCACAGGCGAGCAGGATCGCTCTTGCCGGACACCCCCCTCTCTCGCACACGTCTGCCCAAACCCACCGGGCACTGGGACGGCCCCGCCAGGGGAGGGAGGAGGCCGGGCGCCTGGTCCTGTGCCGCAAGAGGGTCTCCTGCAACGGCTCCATCACGGCCTTCCTGCCATCGGGGACGCTCCCTCTTCCTCTCTAGGGAAGATTTCTGGAATGTTCAAGGCAGTAGTTGAAAGGGCGTAGTGAACAGTCAGCAAGGTTGTGGCGGTTCAGTCTCACGCTTCCGGTGTTTGGGCTGCTCATCCTCCTAGACCAGGGTTTCTTTGCCCAGGCACTGCTGCCATGTGGGGCTGCATGGTTCTTTATGTGGAGGCCCTTCCTGTGCCATGTGGGGCTGCGTGGTTCTTTATGTGGAGGCCCTTCCTGTGCCCTGCGGGGCTGCATGGTTCTTTATGTGGAGGCCCTTCCTGTGCCCTGCGGGGCTGGGTGGTTCTTTATGTGGAGGCCCTTCCTGTGCCCTGCGGGGCTGCATGGTTCTTTATGTGGAGGCCCTTCCTGTGCCCTGCGGGGCTGGGTGGTTCTTTATGTGGAGGCCCTTCCTGTGCCCTGCGGGGCTGGATGGTTCTTTATGTGGAGGCCCTTCTGTGCCCTGCGGGGGGCTGGCTGGTTCTTTATGTGGAGGCCCTTCCTGTGCCCTGCGGGGCTGCGTGGTTCTTTATGTGGAGGCCCCTTCCTGTGCCCTGCGGGGCCTGGCATGGTTCTTTATGTGGAGGCCCTTCCTGTGCCCTGCGGGGTGCATGGTTCTTTATGTGGAGGCCTTCCTCTGCCATGCGGGGGCTGCATGGTTTCTTTATGTGGAGGCCCCTTCCTGTGCTGCGGGCTTCGTGGTTCTTTATGTGGAGGCCCTTCCTGTGCCATGTGGGGCTGGCATGGTTCTTTATGTGGAGGCCCTTCCTGTGCCCTGGCGGGCTGGCGTGGTTCTTTATGTGGAGGCCCCTTGCCTGGTGCCATGTGGGTGCGCATGGTTCTTTAGTGATGGAGTCCTTCCTGTGCCCTGCGTGGGCTGCATCGGTTCTTATGTGGAGGCCCTTCCTGGTGCCCTGCGGCTGGGTGGTTCTTTCTTATGTGGAGGCCCTTCCTGTGGCCCTGGCGGGGGCGGCGTGGTTTCTTTATGTGGAGGCCGCTTCCTGTGCCCTGCGGGGCTGGGCATGGTTCTTTATGTGGAGGGCCTTCCTGTGGCGCCTGCGGGCTGGGTGGTTCTTTATGTGGAGGCCTTCCTGTGGCCATAGTGGGGCTGCGTGGTTCTTTATGTGGAGGCCTTCCTGGGTGCCCTGGGCAGGGAATGCATGGTTCTTTATGTGGAGGCCGCTTCCTGGTGCCCCCTGCGGGGCTGCATGGTTCCTTTATGTGGAGGGAGGCCGCTTCCTGTGCTGCGGGGCTGCATGGGTTTTTTTCTTTATGTGGAGGCCCTACTGTGGGCCCTGTGGGGTGCTGCATGGTTCTTTATGTTGGAGGCGCCTTCCTGTGCCACCTGCGGGGCCCTGGC